AAAGATCCGTAGGTTCAATGCAAGTACTTCGGCTAGATCTTCATGATAACATTTTAATCTTCACCATTAATGTGTTTTATCTAAAGAATGGAACATTAATGTCATGGTTGGATGCCTTGTAGAAACACTTGCTTGTTTGTAGACGGGTTGAGTCTTGGTATAGACAATTCTTGTAAACTTCTAGAAAGACATCGGAACCATGTGCTTAATTCTCATAGTCCATCTTTATCTTTCGAGTAACTTGCTGTTGACACGAGAGTTAATTGAGTTATAAAGTACAAGTATAATAAACCGGATGATTAATTACATGTTTTGATCCTCGAACTAAAGGGTGGTTGTTACATTTGATAATTTATCTTATACTTTGTCTAGAAAAGTCCATTGGAAAGAATCTTATATTTTATCTAGAAAATCTCATAACTTCAAAACTCTTAAAGTATCTAATTGCTTGGTCTTTGTCACTACTTAATTCAAAACACTAATCATAGTTTCCTGTGGATTCGACTTCGGACTTAATCGGATTATTACTACAGCTTGACCGTCTGCACTTGGGTGTACACATTTCGGATTAAGTCAGTAACCGCCACTTGTGTTCAAATTATTAGTTCAGAATTTTTGGTTTTGTTTTGGTTTGAATTACTACTGAATTAGATTTGATTTATGTTGGTGTTTTCTTCTTTGTTGTTTTGTTTTTGATTCAATTTATTATTCTATTTAGTTGCTGCAACACTGGTGGAGAACATTAATTTATGTCTTTTGAAGGTGTTTGGTTTCTTTTTTTGTTGCTTAAAGAATATATGTGACTTGGGAGTTTTGTGTCTATTGATTTGGTTGGCTTAGAGTAATACATAATTTTTTATTTTAATCTTTATCTAATAAAACACAAAATAAAAAACATATTATTTTAACCACACATTGTTGCTTATAATGTATTATTTGCTATCACATGTTAAGAGATTATAAAGTGAGTTAAAATACACTGCATCTCTTGTCTACAAGTATTTCTAAACAAATCAATTAGTTAGACATTAGTTGTGAATTAAATTACGAATGTTCATTTTGTGATGTGTGCACGGTCTTTGGAGTTCTTCAGCTATAAGTCTTTAGTCCTATCAAAGGATGGTTTTAAAGTAAGAGATCGGTGTGGTCCCGATCGGTGTGAGAATATAAAATATATTTTATTATATACATTTATTGGTAATATTCATATCTTAATTTTTTAATTTTTCAGATATTATTTTATTACGATTTTCATATCGTAACATACATGTATCTCATATTCTCATATCTGTTATTTCTAACACTAGACCAAGGTTCTCGAATCATAACAAAGACTGAACCAGTGCAATCAGGTTCAATACATACAAATAGTTTCCCACACACACACACAAGAAGAGTGAGCAAAACTGGACTCAAATTCACGGAATTGGTATGGCCCATAATATTAGGCCAGCTATTGGATATGACATATGGACAGGTGAAAGTGATTGAGGATCTGCCAACCCCCAGCAGCTAGGATAAACAACTGTGATATGGGAAAAATTGAAAAACAAGGTGTGATGTTATGTCAGAGTGCATCTTTAACTTCTGAACTTCAAGAAATAAAAAATATGTTACATTCTAACTCAAAACATGGCTGTTTTGTAAAAACAGATGTGTCATCAACTTGAATAATCTTTTCAGCATGTTTACACACTTTGCAAAACCCAAAATAGGACAGATGTTGCAAGTCTCTGCATGAAGTAAGTGCTACAATAATAATTAGCGAAAGATGGTAAGAAATTGGCTAAAAATCGTAAAATAAGTGATACGACAACCAATCAAGAACGATCCAGGAATTAAGTGTTATGACTGAACTAAAAAGAAGTCGTTGGGCTTGATAAGGGTAGCATGGGCATCGTAATCGTCACAGAAGAAAAAACTTAGTCATAACACCTACACTTGATTTCTTCAAAAAACCTTGCAGCATATAATTTTCAGCACTAATCTCTCTAAATCCTAAAATTTTCATTTTTATCATACACAGCCCTTGGCAACAAGATCAATTCTCAACCAGCCCAAGCTGGTCTGCCCAAACGAAAAAGGTCAGAAACCACCAGACTAACAACATAACAAAGTTCCACAAATGGAATGCCAGTGGTGATAGAAAAAAGCAACACAGTATACTGCAAGAACATTTTCCCTGGAGATAAAAGCTATGTATAAAGAAGGAACAATATGATTACTGACTTCAAGATGGCATGAGTACCTGTATGGTATGTGCTTATGAGTCAGAAGATCTCTATACTTCTTAGCAAGACCGAAGTCAATAATGTATACCTGTGATAAGACTTAGGAATGTCACTGAGCTTATACTGAACCAGGGATCATGAAAATGTCATTCATGATTTATAGATTTAAGTATTACAATAAAAGTTATTACTTATGAACCATTGAACATGGTCTATATAACATACAAAAGTTCTGACCAGCAATTATTTCAAAAGGTTTACATTAAACAATGTATAGTAAGCAAGTGGTTCAATCGAAAAAGGAAAAAAGGACCAAGAGAAAAACCAAAGTAGGACTGATTTTTATCACAGATGGTGAAAACTACATAAAAAGCACATTTATCCCACATTTAGCAATTTTGTGCCAGCCCATTCATAAATCTATCCACTTCATTGGAGTGCAGTTTCTTTCCAAGCCACAATATATCCTCTTGTCTTGAAGTATCCTCAACCCCTTTTTTGTTTTCTACAAGCCGAGGTACTATATATTAGTCTGTCCAATGAATTTGAAATGATTTTTGTGTTGCAGAAATCTTACCAAATTAGTAATTTTTTGTTATGGTTTCATTTTCAAAAATTCAGGGTGAGTCAGTTTATTATAGGCTTGAATAAATATCTAGAAGCTGTTGACCATGGATTTGCAGTTGGCATGAGATTTAATATGCGATTTGAAGGGGAAGATTCTCCAGAAAGTAGTGTAATATCCATAGGATGGTTTTAGAAAGTTGTGTGTAAAGTTGCTGTAAAAATTCTTTTGATTAATCAGGTTTACAGGGACAATGATCGGGGTTGAGAATATTTCTTCTCAGTGGAAAGATTCTTAATGGTGATCATTGAGGTAAATGTCCTTGACCATCTATCTTCTATTTGTTTGAAATTATGGCAGAGAAGAAAAGTAACACTCCTTATTTTGCCCAGGTTCAATGGGATGAGCCAGCATCCATTGCAAGATCCGATAGGGTTTCTCCATGGGAGATAGAATCTTTTGCAGATTCTGGTCTTACAAGCCTGGTTCAACCTGTGCCAGTGAAGAATAAAAGACCCCGACCACCAATTAAAATCCCAGTTCTTGGTGAGCTGATCGTCCCTTCATTCTTTCAATGTTCTGTACATTGTCTAGATGTATCATAATTTCTTTTTTTTTGATTTTGTATTCTTTTGCCATCTGTGTTATAGATACTGCGTCTTCAGCTGTCTGGCATCCGTCACATGATTCAATATCTTCAGCTGTCTGGCATCCCTCCCATGATTCAACTAAATTAAGTGGTACTGCCGACAGACACAGGACGGAGAATCATATTCCAACTCCCATGAACTGTAGCCGCAACGGTATTTTGAGGATGCAGTGGAGGGAGGGTAGACATCCTCTTCCCATGTAACTGCTTCTCGGAAGATGAATATTGATGAAACTGAAGAGAGTAGAAGTGTTTCGGCTTGGTCTGTTCCCTCACACTATTCGGCTTGGGCTGTTCCTATTTCGATCTCTTCCTCTTCCTCACTTCTTCGTCCATTCGATCATCAATTTACCATTGTTCCAATCTTCTCATTGTAATCGAAGCCAATTTTATGCCACCAAGATCACACCCTCAGAGTATTGGATCCAAAGGTAAAACATATCACATCTCTCTCTCTCTCTCTCTCTCTCTGATTTTTTTTTTTCGGTATTAAACTGTGATCTCTGCATTGTTTTGTACGCATTTCCTTCTGTAGCATTGTTAGACTCTATATATATGGCCCACCTACATCTATTTCTGATGAGTAAATCAACAGCGTATTAAATGTATAAATTCATTCCATTGCAAGTTAAATCGACCATCTTTTTATTGTTTTACTTCACTTGGAGCTCGTGGCATTCAATGTCATCGACTGATAATTTGACTATATTTTGAATCTGTCCCTTGTAAATACATTAATCCATCTCATCTTTATTAGACTCCATACACTGGACTTATCTGGGTTTAGTAAAAAACATAGTATTCCAAAGTTAGTTTGTTTCTTTTTCTTTTCATTTCATATACTTTCTCATTTGCCAATACTTGCTAAAGTCAGGAATGGAGTAAGGAGTAAATGTAAATGCAGTCCTAATACATCAACCGCTTTCACATACTTCATCAATTAAATTACGTGGGTTTGTCGTTTCATTTCTGTACACAAAGGAGTTACTCATGCTTCATTTGGCAGCATGGCATTGGGGCTTTGGAATTGGAGTTAAGATAGTTAGTTCACAGTTCAAATTATAGTTTAGCAATTCCAAATTACAGCCTCAATACCATGCTCCCAAACTGAGCATTAGCTTTGTCTAATCACAAAGCGTACGAAATTAATTATGCATATATGGGTTTCTCAGTTTTATTGTTCTTGTGGAGTTGTTGTTGTGAACTTTCTGTTTAATTTGATTAACACTTACCAGTATTTCCAAATTGATCTTTTTCAGGCAATACAACACATAAGAACTTCGATGGGGCTTTATTAAAGTAATGCATGGCTGATAATATTATGGAAGAAGAAGAAATACAACAGCTTGGAAAATTGCTGGTAGAGATATACAAACTCATGAAGGTGGTGGTGACCACGGGATTGTATTCTCCCCCAGCTGCAAGGTACACCATGGTCACCATACTTTGAGATTCTGTATGATATAGTTTTCTTGAATGTTTTGCCTTTTATGGCTTAATACATTCCATCAAACCTTCACTTGGTGGTCCTATCAATGCTATCAACTCTGCAGGAATGATGGGCCAGCCATCAGCCTGTGTATTGGCCATGAAAATGTATGAGGAGCATATGAAACTTCCTCATTCAATGGATTCAGAGACATCTCCAGTTCTAATGGACCCCAATAGGATGGCCCTTCTCAAGTCAGCAACTAATCACCAAGGGTAACAGCCATAGAACTTTACTGTTTTCTTGAGATCAAATAAATCACGCCCAATCGACCTATTATGATTGCATCATTGGTTACCGTTCCAAACTTTCTCATAATTTCTCTGATCATATGTACACTGGTTCATTGAACTTTGCTAATAACCTCTTAGACCAAGTGTATTGTTTCCTCATTTTTACACATATAACAGGGTGATTAAGAAGTTGATTTTCCCAATTGATGTTATGGTTGTGTTACATGCTACGAAAATTATAGCAATCACAGGTTTGTGCGAAGTATCGGTTTTTGCTAGGATCTGTTGGGTTAGATATAGTAGATTGTTCATGAGCTCCCTTTTTTGTTGTTGTTTCAACTGCATTGTAATGGATTTCTACATTCCTATTGCGTATTCATCAATTTTAAATCCATCCACTAATCAAAGTTCATGTTCCCCATCGTAGTTACAAAATTCAAAATCTACACCAGCAAGTTCTTGGAAAAAACAAAAAAAAAAAGACTTCTCTCTCGTGTTTGTGTGCCCGTTCAGTAAGTGCTGGACAGTGATAAATTGGAGATCGGATCAACCTTTTCTTGCATTGAAGGTAAGAACTTCAGTCCTCTTATCTTCAAGTATTTGGTTTGAACATGACATTTAACATTTTCCAGGGATTAAATTAAAACTTGCAATCATTCCTCACTTGAACTTTTGGGCTTTGATTCACTATATTGTAATCGTGCAGCAATTATGGTGAATAATAAGGAATCAAACAATTAAGAAAATAAGAGAAAATAACACAGAAATTTACGTGGTTCGGCAATGCGCCTACATCCACAGGAGCGAGCGGCCGTTCTTTTTCATTATTGAAAGTAGGGTTACATCTTAAGTATTTATATAACCCTAGTACGGACGTATTTACAAAATAGCCCTGTACCGTACCGCAGAGCTTTGTCCCCGCACCCCCAACTAATCAGCGTCTCCCCCATATATAAAATATATCAATCCCGTAAGGCAGATGCCGTCGCGGGCTCCGCTCCGACATCTGCCTCCTTCTTTGTACACACAGCAAATATGAGTCATACATACTCTAACGTATATGTCTATATTAGAAATTGAATAACACACTAATAAGCTCAGCTGTAAGATTGAAACTGTCTTCTGTATGTCTTTCATATGGTTGGGCCATATGTTTGATTTGCTGCACTGTTAAATACATTCTTGGTTGATAGTGGCTGCCATCACCTTCCTAAAACGATTTTTGTATAGTTAAGCTTGGCATTATTTTGTTTGTGTTGTGCCTGGCTATTGTATTCGATTGTTCTCATACCAAATATAGCGTTTACATTTGTGAAATCCGCTCAACAACGTTTTCCCCCCTTTTTTATTGTGTTATCATAATCCTATTCTTGAACTAAATGCCTAATTTTATCTAATAATTTTACAGGAGTAACATTGTGGAGGCCCATATTCAAGTACAGTGCCTACTGAAATCGGAGTATACACCTGAAGAGATACAGAGCATTAACATGGTTTCCATACAGGATCTTCAAGAACAACTTGACAACATGCTGTTGGGTAATTCTGACCTCTCTGTCCAACCGTCTTTCTGTCTGTGTCTTTCTTTCTGTCTCTCTCTCTCTCTCTCTCCTCTCTCCATCCCCTCCCTACGTATTCCCAAATTGGCCAATAGTCATGAAAATTAATGCCATAAAAGCCACACTCCCTCTCTTCACCTTCCCCATGTCCCCCTGTCTCTCTTAAATTCACTCTCAGCGCAGCCCCACAGATTTTCGACCTCCTTTCTACATCTCAATTGCTACTCTTTAAGCTATTCTATTCATGACATATAACTGAAGAATATCTATACTTCAGTTACCAAACTTTCAGATTCTCAGTTGTGGATTCTTTACTTGTTGCAAATTGATTTGGACAGTATAACTACTACTTCTTTCACTAGCTTTTGTATTTTCATGTGTTCCCATTTTAACCACTGGCGCGATTGCAATGATCACAAGCAGAGTAGGAAAAGGACGATCAAGAACGATTAATCATATACATGACTCTTCCATTCGTTGTACCAACCGATGCCACCGACCAATTTTGCTTTCGACTTTGAATTGATTAGACTTTTGGATACATATATTTGGGATTTTTTTGAGATCACTTCAATTTTTTCTGACTGAGTTGCTATTCTGGTATAAAATATGACCATCTACTTATGTATTTATCAAAAAAAATCTTTAATTTTGAATATTTTTTTTTATCTCTTTAGGATTTTAAATAGGAGCTCTGGAATGTGGTCTCGCTGAACATGTAGAAGGAGAGTCATTGTCGGATAAGAGAGCGGAAAAGCCTCAGTTTTGATTTTTTATCTTCGGACTCGAATTCCTTAAAGTTCCAACTTCGCCGTCATCAGTTAACGCCAATATGTAGATGTTGTTCAGGAGGGAGAAACGAGTTTACAAGGCCTGCACAAATCGGTTTTGTACAAAATCAACAGTCAAGAATATAAACAAAGGCAATCAATGAGCAGTAAATAGACAATTAATGGTAAAACAGTAAATATGGAATCAACACAAAATTTATAGTGGTTCGGTCCGAATGACCTACTCCATTCTTAGGAACGACAGCGGTGGCCGGAGATCTTTATTAATGAATAATATCACCGGGAAAGTAATTCCGGGAGTATTACAATGTTTTGAAGAGAGAGAGCAATGTGTGTAAGAAGGTGTAGTGTGTGTAGGAATCTTGTAGAGGTCTCAAGGTCATCAAAGGTATATCCTCTATGTAGAAAGGACTTACATTATATGGGGATGGTGAGGTGGTGACGTGAGAGAGAGGGCTTCCACAATTTTGGTAAGTACAATTTAGGTAAGATTAGATCTCCGTGCTATCCCGATATTCTCTCCCTCGTGCTCCTATTCAGTCGGAGGAGGACTCTGAACTAGGTTGGACTTGAGTTGGAATGGCAGAGTCAAAAGGGCGAAGGACCCCATGAGGCTACGCAGGAAAGGGAACATGAGACAAAGGAGGGATGGAATCCCCTTGGGGTGGCCCCCCTTTGCGGCAGCCCCTTGGGGTATCCCCTTGAGGGTGTCTCCCTTGGACTCCTCCTTGACTTTGGCTTCTCCTTGGTTGGGCTCCTCCTTGATTTGTTGATTTGGACTCCGAAGTGACGTGGACCTCTATTGATTAATTGGGTTTGACCTAGTTAATTTCGGGCTCATCATTGGCCCCCTATATCCCAAGCCTCTGACTTTTACGAGAGAAAGTGGATGTGAACATGTGCTTCGTCTTCATCGGAGTAAGTCGGAATTTTTCATGTCTTTAGGACTCCGTTATATTTATTGGTATCAAAAAAGATTTTTTTTTTTTTTTTCTTTTCTTCTTCCTTCTGGGCTTGGTTGGGCGCCGCCCTTGTTGACTTCTCTTCTCTCTTTTTTTTTTCCTTGGTCTGCTAGCTTGTTGGGCCGGCCCTCCTCCCCTCTTTCATTGTTTTTTTTTCTTCTTTCTTCTGGGCTGTCCTGGCTGGGCGCTGTCCTGGCTGGGCGCTGCCCTCTTCCCCTCTTTTTTTTTTTTTGTTTTTTCTTTCTTCTTTCGTTCTTGGCCTGGGTGTCGCCTCTTGCACTCTTTTCCCTCTTTCTTTTTTTTTTCCTTTGGCTTCTTCTTGGGCGTCGTCCTTTCTTTCTCCTTTATTTTTGTTTTTTTTTGTTTTCTCTTTTCTTCCTTGCTTCTTCTTGGGCGTCACCCTCTCTCTCTCTCTCTCTCTCTTTTTCTTTCTTTCTTGCTTCTTCTTGGGCTGGTTGGGCATCGCCCTCTTGGGCACTGACTCCTCCTACTTTGTTTTTTTTTTTTGGGCGTTAACTGCTCCCTTTCTCTCTTTTTTGTTTCCTTTGTTTCTTCCTTGGGCGTGGGTTTCCCTAGGCGATGCCTCCTTTTTTTTTGGCATCCTTTTAGTGTCAATGGAGGCTGGTATGGTGCTTTGAGTGATGTCAGGAGGTTGAACAGCGCCTTGAACAATGCCAAGAGGCTGGGTAGACGCCTTGGGCGACGCCAAGAGGTTAGGTAGGTACCTTGGGCGACACCAGGAGGCTGGTCAGGCACCTTGGATGACTCCAGGAGGCCTTAGGCACTGCTATGTTTGGGCGACGCCTTGAGTCTCGCTATGGACGGCGCCTCTCTGGTGTTTGGTCACTGACTGATCTTGTCTCTAATTATAGGCGCCCTGTTGATAGAGCGATGGTGGAGACTCTTGTGCTTTTAGGGTGGTGTCTTCCCCTCCTCCCAAGAGGGCGAGGTTTGATGCCCCCAGTGCTTTTTGGCCCAAGTCCGATGACCAGGTTTTTTCCTGCGAGCGGGATCCGGTGGTGCCCCCACTCCTTCCCAGATTGAGGCTTCTGGAGATAAGAGTAGGCTGTTTGTATGAGAGCAACGTCAGAGCTGTGGATGTCCCGTGAGAGAGCCGCATGAGCTAAGGTTGAGCTACGTATAGTCTCGGGAAATGGACTTGCGTGAGAGTAGAGTCATAGAGGCCGAGCTACGTATAGTCTCGGGAGATGGACTTGCATGAGAGTAGAGTCATAGAGATCAAGCTATGTATAGTCTCAGGAGATGGACTTGCGTGAGAGTAGAGTCATAGAGGCTGAGCTACGTATAGTCTCGGGAGGTGGCTGTCGTGGCAGAGGCTTACTAGGTAACTTGCACGAGAGTAGAATCATAGGCCAAGCTACGTATAGTCTCGGGAGATGGCTATCGTGGCAGAGACTTGCACGAAAGTAGAGTTATAGGCAGAGCTACGTATAGTCTCGGGAGATGACTGCTGTGGCAAACACTTGCGCAAGAGCAAAGTCATAGACCGAGCTATGTATAGTCTCGGGAGGTGGCTGTCGTGACAGAGGCTTAATAAGTGACTTGCACGAGAGTAGAGTCATAGGCCGAGCTACGTATAGTCTCAAGGAAGTGGCTTTCGTGGCAGAGACTTACTAGATGACTTGCGTGAGAATAGAGTCATAGTCCAAGCATGAGAGGCGCCTAAAATGGAGAGGGCGAGACCCCTCGTCTAGAAGGCATCATGGGAGGTGCCCAAGGTGGAGAGTGCGAGACCCCTCATCTGGGCGGCGTTGAGGCGCCCAAGATACAGAGGGCGAGACCCTTAGTCTGGGCGCCTGGTGTTGGGGTCGCGAGCGCCTTTTGTCTACACCTCGTTGTTAAGTCATGTTCTGACTTTTGTAAGCTATTTGTAATTTTTAGAAAAACAAAACAATTCTGGACCCAATAGTATTCACAGAATTTTATTTCATAAAATAATTAATAACAGAATAAATAAACTAAAACAATAAAGAATAGAGGAGAGTCACTGGTTTTCTCTCTCGTCCTCCTGCGCAGGTACATGAAGAGGGGGAACATGTGAGCTCCTTTTGCGCTGAGGAGGGACTATTGGGCGAGGGGCGCCCTAATGTGGTCCTGGAGTGTTCTGGTGAGGGGCCTTATGGTGGGGGGTTGTCTGGCGCCCAAAAAGGACAGGTTGTTACTCTTCTCCTATTGGAGGGAGTAGGGCTCCTCCCGCAGGGTAAGGGGTGACGCCCCCTTGGGCGAGCATGAGCTGGATGATCTGTTGGTTTTGGTTCACCAGCAACTGCATGGTTTGAAGGAGTTGTTGTTGTTGCCCGACAAGAGTCGCAGTAGCAGATAGCTCTGACGGTGCGAAGGGAGGCGGAGCGTCCTCCCAGTGAGTCAGGTTATTGTCTTCCGGATGTTGGCTCATTGATCTAGTAGTGATTGTCATTGATCAAAAGAGTAGGAAAACTAGTCGTTCGCACAAACGACGCCAAACTAATGATGCACAAATCGACTTTGCGCAAAATCAACAGTCAAGAATATGAACAGAGGCAATCAATGAGCACTAAATAGGCAATTAATGGTAAAACAGTAAATATGAAATCAACATAAAGATTTATAGTGGTTCGGTCTGAGTGACCTACTCCATTCTCAAGAACGGCAGCAGTGACTGAAGATCTTTATTGATGAATAATATCACCGGGAGAGTAACTCCGGAAGTATTACAATGCTTTGAAGAGAGAGAGAGAGAAAAAACAATGTGTGTAGGGAGGTGTTGTGTGTGTAGGGATCATGTAGAGGTCTCAAGGTTATCAAAGGTATATCCTCTACATAGAGAGGACTTACATTATATAAGGATGGTGAGGCGGTGACGTGAGAGAGAGGGTTTCTACCATTTTGGTAAGTACAATTTAGGTAAGATTAGATCTCCGTGCGTACCCTAATATTCTCTCCCTCATGCTCCTATTCAGTCGGAGGAGGACTCTGAGCTGGATTGGACTTGAGTTGGAATGGCAAAGTCAAGAGGGCGAAGGACTCCATGAGGCTGCGCAAGAGAGGGAACATGAGACAAAGGAGGGAGGGAATCCCCTTGGGGTGGCCCCCTTTTGCGGCAGCCCCTTGGGGTATCCCCTTGAGGGTGTCTCCCTTGG